AAATTAATAGAGAAAAATGAGAACTCACCAAATATAACTAGAAAGGCACCAAAGGAAGCACACCAATGTGAGCAGCCAAATTCTAAAATTATCTACAAAAATAAATCATTGGCTTTTCTTTAAATGATCTGGTTATTATAATTCAGACATTATTATTATTACTGGTATTTGAATAGTCAACTTTAGATATTTTGGTTCGATGACTATGTACAAAAGAACGCACACAAGGCTCCGGGAAAACAATGGATAATCTTGATTTATTCTTTTATTTCCCGGAGCCTCGTCTGCAATTCTTTTGTACATGGTCACTGAACCAAAATATCTAAAGTCAGCTATTAACCCGTGTCCCATGTTTTAGTTCTCATAATAAATGACTAGTGACATCACGAATCATGACTGTACCTCATAAATACATGGTGCAACAAGGCTTCCTAAGAATGCTGGGATGAATCTCAAAATCCATACAAATGATTCATATTCTCCAAGTTCTGCAAGAAAAACACTAAATGAAGATTTTAAACCTGGAAGATTTTAAATGGGGAGACACAAGACACACCCTGAAGATTTTTGGTTTATTTCCTTTTTAGTCCACCTGAATATGAAGATTTTCAGGCTACCCCWGAAGACATTCTTTGCAAAAGTGTCTACCCCCTGAAGACTTTCAAGGGTTACCTCCTGAAGATATTTTAATAGGTAGTTATTGAATGGTATACAGCCTTTTGCAAAAATTATGAGAATTGTTGAAATATCTAAATATCATAATATCAAGTGCATGATGGGTAATCACGGGCGATGTGCTTTGTCCCTTGTCTGTGTAGTTTAGGGTTTTTTTTGACGACGGACTTATCCATAGTTCTGAACATTTTCTCGATGTAAACAATGAATTATTCTAGCAAACCTGCGTGTTTCGGACAATATATGGATATGGATACTATGATATTTAGATATTTAGACAATTCTCATAATTTTTGCAAAAGGCTGTATGGTGTGGTATATACAAATTTGTGTTGTAACATTGCCATGCAAATATACCTTGTCCAATTTCATCAAAAGGAAAGTTACCATCATATCCTGAAAAGTATGCTATAAAAATGAAAGCAAAATGTTAAACATCTCAAATAATACCATGCTAGTAAAACTGATAAATTGAATAGGGGCAAAAAAATGGTTTCTCCATGGAGTGTGAATAGCAAGTTATCCCCACAAAAATCCTTTAATAAGAAAAGTACAAAATCAAATCAAGAGCATAACTTTATAAACTTTTTTCACAACTGACACAGCTAATTGTTATTTTTGTTGGACAGAAAGACAATTTTCAGTAGTAAATACCTGTGAATGCATATAGGAGCTTGGCTAAAGGTGGATGAACATCAAAAAAGTATTTATTTTGCATAAAAAAGTTGGTGAATTTTCCAAAGTGAACTTCATCGAATCTGAAAACAAATRAATGGAAAACAGAGTTGGTTCAATAACTTGAAGGTAAATGTATCTCATTATTATAATACATTTTCTACTCACACTACATATTTAGGTGTTGTAAGCTGCCAAAGACGTGTACCAAAGGACAGTCCCAGCAAAACTAACCATCCAACATTGAGCTGCATACTCATKACTAAGGGKGGTGATGCTGGGGCAGTTGTTGTCACAGAGGTTTTGTGAGTTTTATTGMAATTAGCTTGACCATTACCCTAACAAATTTCATAAAGTCAAAATTATAGTTCCAATGTAAGCATTTCTAGTTTAAATAACTAAGAACTTGAGGAAAATGTCCATCTTTGTGATTTTTTTTTCATTTTAGATATGGACGTAATCTTGGAGGATAAATTTTATTAACAATTATTGTTCAAAACTGAAGAGCCCCTCATTCAAGTGAAAGATTGTATTATTTGTTGAACGAGAGGCTTGTCAGTCAATAACATTGTTATTTAATCAGTCCATCATTTTCCACATTGGTGTATTGTCGATAATATAATCTTTGAATATCTAGAACCAATTACATTTAGAAAAATATAGTACCCTAATTGTACATGATTGATTTGAATAGCTAAACTAAAACTGTTGTTGAAGTATGGCGCTATAGAGCTGGTACTAACATTTGTACAAGAATGACTGAACTCRTAATAAAAGATRAYTAAAAAATAACTGAGTTTTCAACCWGAAAACATGCATKYTGTGTWTTGAACAGATCACCTTGGTATTCTATGTAGCAAAACAAGCACTTTGTAAYTCACAATATTTTGTGATTTTTYTTAAAGTTGTGCATCAAAGGAAAATTCACAATTTTGCAGATAGTACTACGTCTCTTGAATCTAAAGTCTATTTAGTCTGAAAGGGATAAATTTCTTTTATTCTCATTGTGTTTGCACAATAATGGGAAAGAATATTATAATAATGAAAACACTATTGTTTGTCTTTAATATTTTAGCATTTACACTGCAGTTCATAATCGTCATTCATACCCTTTCGAAGGTGTCTTAGTCATTCAATGAGTATTTTCTTCATGGGCAATACTTTATATATATGAATACATTGTTTATAAATAAAAATACAATATTGTTTTGCTGGAAACTAATATTTCTGAATACATGTACTGTACACAGTTTAATTTTTAGCTAAGATGCAATAATATACTTGAAAAGATACGTCAAAGAAAGGAAATATGCAATTAAATCGACAACATACACCTGTAACTTAAGTCACTTCTTATCGATCCATATKATATATTTTTGGACGTTATGCTATTTTGTTTTGCATCCAAAACAACGCTCTTTTAAACTTCAAAAATCTTGTTTTAGCATTCATAGGCAAATTCATATATTCGTAATAAAGCTAGATTAGTGAAAAAAACTTAGAATTGTAACACTTACCTACACTCTTTACTACGACGGGATTAACTTAATTATAAGTTAAATACAAGATTGTTGATAAAAACTCCAAAATATTTCTAATTACAAGTGATAACTGTACCTTGATGATCACATCTTACGGAATTTAGATAAAGCTACAACTCAAAAACGATTAGAATTCTGTCCTTTGTGGTTAAAAGCTTTGTTGACCGCAACAAATCAGTTTACRACCACGTACTGAATTCCATCCTTTTCCGACTTGTTGACGCTAAGAGTTTGTGCGATAACAGAAATCTGTCTAACTCAACATGAACTAAGACTAGATAACAAGTTAAAACTTACTTTATATGAAGAATTCTKCGAAATAATGTAAATGTTATCCTAATTTCGGTAAAGTTTTTTCGTGTTGTATTAAAAGCTTACCTGTGTAGTCGGCCATAAACTCTCMTCGGGGTCATGCACARGTTCTTTAGGTTTGACTGGTGGATTTCCTTGCAACGTTTCCAGTTTTCTATCTGCCAACTCACTGCTCATTATTGAAATTAAGTTTCCATGGATAATATAAGATAATAGTAAAAGAATGCACACAGACTAACGCGGAAAATGAATAAATATTCAAACTAAATGACAACTATGGAAGCAGCCAGGCCTTTCAAAATGCCGCGCGAAAATTGGAACCCCACAGGGATCCCACTAAAAGATGTAAGATTATAAATATCATGATATTCTTAGCAGTTAGGAATTTGAACTATTGAAGCAAAGTGGTCTTTGATATTTATATTTGAATATTCTAAAAAGGTCTAAAAACWTAATTTTGTTGTTCAAGTATACCATTATCATAATCATAATTATCGTCATCATAATTAATGGTTAAGTACACGACGATTCAAGCAATGCCTATCAATATGAAGTTGAATAATCCTTCAAAAGCCCTAAAAAAGCCTTGTCATTGTTCTGAACAACATAAAAAAATAACAATGAAGATAATAATGCACGGGCTGCCTGTGTATCGATTCCGATGCGCATGATCGCCACGTAAACAGCTGGTATGATTGATCGTAGTTTCAATCAGTCAAAGCCGGCAAATAAAGTTGACAACACAACGAAGGAGAACRGCGACGGGACGATGAAGGGAGTTTATGTGCTGGGCGTTTGTGCTTTTGCGGCTCTGTATTTATTTACCTGCGTGGCTGGACATGGTCATGAACATAGCCACGGTCACGGCCATCAACATCATCACGGCCATCAACATCATGGCCATCAACATCATGGACATCAACATCATCATGGCCATCAACATCATGGACATCACCACCATGGACATGAACACCATGGACACTACCACGAAGAAGAAGAACCAGCATTCAAYAGATATAGTCGAGAGATGAACGAGAAAGAAGAACCAAAGATCGAAAAACCTAAACCTGCGGAGAAAGCTAAGCCAAGCACCAAGATGCCATTACCCCCGAAGCCGACAAGAACCACCATGTGCATATGGATTGAAGCAATTTCTTCCACGATATTAATAAGTGCAGCGCCTTTCTTTATATTGTTCTTYATCCCTCTGACAGGAAATACTGCTGAGCAGAAGCCTCTCTTAAAAGTTYTGTTAGCATTTGCCTCTGGAGGGTTACTTGGGGACGCGTTTTTGCATTTGATCCCTCATGCAATTAGTCCACACAGCCACCTCGAAGAACATAGCCACTCTCAYTCRCACGATCATGGACATGCTCACGGCGAACACAAYCATTCTCATGATATGGTAGTTGGATTCTGGGTTCTTGGAGGTATTATTGCTTTTCTTATCGTTGAAAAGTTTGTACGATATGTAAAAGGCGGTCATGGACATTCTCATGGTCATGGACACTCACACGACGCAAGCCCAACAAAAAAGACCACTGACGACGATAAAATTGCTAATGGAGATAAAAAAGAGAAAACGAGAAAGAGAAAAACATCAGACAGCAGCGAGAAATCATCCTCAGACGARCCAAAACCTGAATCTAGTGGTAGGTTGGCCTTGAAATATTACATTGATATAAAGTCCTATTGTTCCTCGAATTGTTCCATCATTTAGGATATTTTATAGATTRTTTTAATGTGCTAAAAAGAGAAGCGACTGGCGGTGCATTTGTCRAGAGTGTTTTTTAATTTAGCTCAGCAGAATCAACAACTCGAAGAGCACTCGATTGCTTTTATTCTTGTATTTACATGTGTCTTGGCGTAAATTCGGAGCGCAGAAGACTAAAGCTTTTTTGAAAGGGGATCAGTTTTGTCGCTCTTGACACAGAAGATAAACTCGRAGCTGTACAAATTTGCCATAAAAATGAAATCCCAGAAGGATCAAGTTTGTTCACTGGCGATCGAAGAGCAAACAGATCGTTTTCAATCGCCTGTTCTACCTGCGAACWTTTATGCAAATGTTGAGGAACTAAAGTTGACGTGTCACACTTTGTTCGCTRGCTGAATCAACACAGGCGGGAATATTCCACAGAAAATGTACAAAACCGTCACTTTTTGGCATTTTTATTGAGAGGGAAAATTTAAAAGTATAGCACTTAAATGGGTTTTTCGCTGATCAAGCGTTCGATTTCACATGTTCCAAGTCATTTGCGCGCCGCATGCCACGTCAACTCAGATAGGATTTCGATCTCACATTGATAAAAATCTTTTTTCAAACAATGAAATTATAGTTTTCAA